TAAAATGTACCTTTGTTTCATAAATGACATATACCTTCTGAACACTGTTTCAGAAACACAAGGCAAAACAGGAATTTGAGGTGAAATGTACAAGAAATTAAGATTTTTTTTTTCTTACAAATATTTGTAGTGATATTTCAAAGGATGCTGGAACTTTTGTTTGATTCCAAAATGTAAGTGCTGTTTATGCTATAAATACATGTACTGAGACAAAAAATGGGCACGTACATAGTTTTTTTTAGAACTCTCATCTTAAATTTCTGTTATCTGTGCCAATACACTACAATTGTGAGAAATACTTTCTGTGTAATTGCTGAAGCAGAGGTGGAAAAATTACTGGAAGGTGTTGCATGTTACGTTTGCACTGTCCACGGTCGACATCTCATTGTGTGAGATATTTGATGTCATGCAGAGTTAACACCGGAAAAGCTTAATGGCGTTTATAGTTAGTTTGCTTGTATGTATGAACATGTAGGAAACTGCCGTTTATAGGCAAAAAGGGCACATGAGGCAACCTGCACTGGACGACTAATGGGGATTCTTGTGTCTTGTGTATACGGGGACTGTAAAGCAGTGGAGTATAGAAAGGACTTTGGAAAAAATACAGCCAACTTCTAGCACCTTTTGTTTGTTTAATTTTACAGGTTTTCCCCAATCAGTTCTGCCCGTCACATTTTCCCCTCTCTGTTACTTGAGTCATAACCAGTTACAGTTACAGTGTTATTTTTGCAGTTAACACTGTAAGAAATTGTTGTTGCCACTGTTTCTCACTTGCTTATCCGGGTAGGACACTTATTAACTGATTTGTCACCTAGTGTAGGGGAGGATGTGGGTGGTGCATGAAGGCATGGGGGTCCCTGAAGCGCCTGATGGGCACTGCAGACTGAACTGCAAACACCAAGTGGTTTTGTGATTTAAAACGAGAGGCTGCTTTCAGCTCAGATGAATGCCAAGCAATGGAGAGGGACAAAGCAGACTTCCAGGCAAAACTATGCCCATTACAAAATAAAAACCCATGCCTATACAAAGACTGTTTCCTGAACCCATGTTACTGCTCAGGAAAAGGGCAATGGGTTCATTTTGGGCAGCTTTCTGCAAACACCTGCCCGGTGCTAGTTTAAAAAAATAGTTAGAAATTATTATGGAAAAGGAGTAGAGGACAAAGGCTTGAATATATCACCTTATAAATCCCCATCTGGAGTATTGTGTGACATTTTGGACCCTGTTCCAAGATTTAGTAGAAAGGGAGGGGCAGGGAGGAGAATGACAGCCTTGGTCTGCTTCCAGAAGAAGAAAGGGTAAATAAAATTGGGACTAATGAACCTGGAGAAGGGATGTGGTGAAAGGGATAAAGTGAAGATGTATGTTGCAGAACTTACTGCCAAAAGATACTTCAGAAGACAAAACGATAGTGGTTTCAGAAGTAAATTGGACAATCCCAGTGAGAATGAGGATTTAATTATGTGGGCTTGGGTGCAGCCAGTGGTTCTGGACATACAGTTTTTAAGAACTGCTAGATTTCTGGTGGCTGGAGTTGGGGGCAGCACGTTCACACCTCCCATCTTCTTGCGCTTGTTCCTTAGACATCTGTGCTAAGCCTTTCAGAAACAGCCTGCTCTGTCAGACAAACATTTGAATGGAGAGTACCAGCACTTGTCTGGGTGTACTTGAAAATAAGCATGCTAAAGAGGCTTAGCTGGTTTTGGAGCACCTGCTTGGATGTGTCCCAGTATTGTTGGAGGGAGGGAAGTGTCTGTGTTCAAGGCTTGCTATGTAAGCTAAACTGAACTTCTCAGAAATTCAGGAGGCGGTAACTGGGATGCATGAATAGCTTAGAGAGGAGCGTGGGATTTTGACTTTTGGATTGTTGTGAAGTTGCATGTTACTTGGTTTGGTTTTAACTGTGTTTATCTGGATGTCTGGCATCGTGCATTTTCATTGTTACCCTGCTCATGTTTTGGAGAGGTGCCTTTTATTTTTCCTGTTTTCTGCCAGTGGAATAGGATTGAAGACACTTTTGCTGTTCTGTATTTTGTGTCTTTGAGTAAGACCAGTTCCTTTATTATCTGTTGGGTTGATGTTTTTTTTTCTCTTCCTCAGGAAAGCAGCTGCATGAAAATGTGACTGTTACCAGATTTTGATCAGCAGCTGCAAAACCAAGTAGTCCTCTTAATTTCATTCTGCATCTGTATGGTGAAGCTTTATGCAATAGGAGTATGGCTTCAGCTTTGAGAAGATCACATTACATTAATAGTTGGCATTGGAAGGGGTTTTTGTAATTATACAAGCAGTTTGTTTACCTCTTAAACAACATAGTTCTGCATTAGTTTGCAATATCCAGGGTAAACTATCTTTTTTCCAAGCCCTTATTGGTTTGGAAGGCTCAGTTTAAAAGAGGAGTGCTGTGGTGTTTTGTTTGTCTTTGCCACGCTGTCTTTATTGATGTATAAAAATGCAGAATTGCTTTTGGTTTGTTACGAAATCTATATTTTAACATCATAAAATACAGTTGTAATTAACCTGAAAATAAGTAACCTCACTGCAAAAGTTTCATGTGGGGGAATCTATGGCAGTAAAGTTAAATCTTCCAGTCTTAAGGAGCCTAAAAGTGTGTTTACAAGATTGGATGTAGAAGACTTCTTCCACTGAACTGCAGCTGTCCCTTGTGTGTGGTTTGAAACTGTTGACAAGTGCAGGTAGAATTTATATGAAAAATAGGAAGTCCTCTTTGCCAATTCAATAAGCATGAAAAGTGGTGTGGGGTGCTTACGTCTTGATCTCTTTGCCAAAAGATCTGTCTCTCAAAATGTATAATCATTGCCGCTTACATCTCAAAAGTAATTTTCTGGTATTTGAGTATGGTTTTGGAAGTATGAGTCGTGGGAAAAGACCTACTCATAGCTCTTATACAAGTTTACTGACTCTTGGGGGATTTTTTGGCTTAGTCTAGTCTATTGTGCTCTCCTGGTTCTCTGCTTTTTTCACTATGACAGAAGCCATAAAATCTTGGATCTGGTTTAGAAATTAGAGGTAATTTCATTTGTTTTAATTTACCTTTTCTATGGCAAAGCAAACCATTGCAGCCATTTTTTCACTTAATCTTGTGTTCCTAGTGAAATACAATGGTGCTGTTCCTGCAAATTCTGAATTCTTTAAAGGAATGTAATCAATGTAAGGTGGTTTAGAAGGGAAAAGTATCAAAGACAGCCCTTATCAGCTGCTTATTTGGTCTGCTTCAAATTTTGATTTATTCTGCTGCAATGAAAAAATTTGGTAAGAGGTGAAAAATTAGGAATAAACATGAAATTTCCATGATGTTATTTAATATTAACTTTACTTTTCATTTTGCTTACCTCTGTCTCTAATCACAAACAGAATTCAATTTCTTGCTCTTCACTTTAAACAATTGACAAACCCTGAGCTGTCTTCACAAATGCTAAGGATTAAATGACTAATACACCACTAAAGACCCTGAGAAGCAAAATAAAATCTTGTTATTGTATAGCTCCTTGACAGACAACTTGCCTAATTAATCATAACAGATTTGTAACCAAAGATTCATTTATTTTAAAATATTTGATATAAAGACGTCATCTATATCTGTGGGCAGTTCCTGAAATAACGGGAAAAACATGTAATGTTCTAGGGTTTAAGTTAGTTTTTCTTTTAATATATCTCTCATACTTCATGTGGGTTGAAGTAAGCAATATTTGAATACAATTGGAGTGTGGAGATATAGGATATTCCAGTTATTTAGGTGAACCTGGTTAATGTCTACGCTGGACACGCATTTGAAGTCTCTTAGTTAAAACTCACAGCATGGCATATTATTAGAGCGTTAGAAATGCAGCTTCTTCAGAAAAATAATACTGAATTAAGCAAGATCCATCAATGGCATTTAATTAACAATTCCTGGTTTAACTGTACTGTTTAAGACATCATATGCCTGACGTTCTGAAATACCTGTTTGTGAGACAAGGGCTGCGGGATTCCAGTAGGTTTTAACAGACTCAGACCTCAGTTTTCAGGAAAAAGCTCTCAAAACTTTCCTATCCTGCAAGACATTTTTCCAGCATTTTGACTCTACTGCACCCTCCCCCAGTGCATACTTCCATTACTTTAACCTGACAGATTGCATGGAGACTTTACATGAAGACTTTAACATACAGATGGGTTATGCATCTAAGATGTTCTCCTATTCTCTCTTACAAGTGCCGATTATTTGGTATTATGTTTCTAATGTGGAATACAGAAAAACCTGTCCCTTCTGTGTCATGAGGAATGGGCTGTTTACTTGCATGCCCTCAAATTCTATTTAAGTAACTGGGAACTAGACCCAGAAAGAGATAATGCTCTGTTTGCCAATTCTAATAGCAAAAATTGTTTAGACTTGAGAAATATCTCATTGTCTATGAATCCATTCAATATCCATTACTGCATGGGTCTTGTTTCCCTCTCAAAGAAGGGTAGTCAGTATTTCTTCATTTCCATTTTCCTTTAGAGTATTATGCTTTATATGATCTTGTCAATCAAGTTCTTTATTTGGCTTTTTGTGTCGCTTTCTTCCATCTATTAACTTCTCATGGCATTTGAAACAAAAGGCTTCTGCTTTCTCTTTGCAGTCTTGGTGCTGCTAAAGGAGTTAAAGATGTCGGAAAGGGAGAAAGCAGAGCATCAACCGACTGAAGTGCATTGATATTAGGAATGTTAATAAACCTTTCCCTCCTTCTAAAAAGAAGTATATGATGATTGGTGTATTTGGCTTGTTTAAGATGTATTTTCTTACAACTGTAAAATAGATTTGTTGGATCCCTTTGTCACTTTAATTTTGCTCTGTGCATGGAGTCTATTTCTGTAACATTTCAGTTCCAGGGGGCTGAGTTTCATCTTTACTGTGTGTTCTTAATATCACTAGCCTGTTTTCATGCTAATAAGGATTTTGCAATTGTTGACCCAGTATAATATAATTACTAGAATGTTATTATTTAAACTGTTTCCAGGTACATCCACCTTTATGGAAGCATTAGCAGCCAATGGTACAACCAACATACAGACGTCTGTGACAGGAGTCACAGCCAGCAAACGAAGGTTTATTGATGACAGGAGAGATCAACCTTTTGACAAAAGGCTACGTTTCAGTGTGAGGCAGACGGAGAGCGCGTACCGGTACAGAGACATTGTTGTCAGGAAACAAGATGGATTCACACATATTTTGCTATCAACAAAATCATCTGAAAATAATTCACTAAATCCAGAGGTCAGAACAATTCAGATTTTGGGGGGAAGGGTACTGGGGGAGTTCCAAGTCCTTGCCTCATTTATCCCTGTTATTCGGGTGCAAACGTACACAAAACAAGATTCACGTTGTGGCTTGCAAGATGTTAAACTGAACTGAATTACACTTAAAATCAGTTGTTTGTGTAAGAACTGTGTTATCTGAACATGGAGATGTACTGTCTTTTGTACGACGTGGTGATTTATGAAGTGCACCCTGAAATCAGCTTTAACCTGATTTAAGGTTCTGTTTTTTTCTGAACTGGTTGCATGTGCCACCTGCTGTCCAAATTACAGAAATGCTGAATGAGAGCTTTAGTTACAGATAGCATCTAATAGATCTGGTCTTAATGATTTCATTATCTTTGTCTAATTACATTTTTGAAATGCAAAGCTTCTCATACCTTTTTTTATTTATTTATTTAACGTTCTTATGTTTGGATAATGAAACAAGTGAACTTTTCTAATCTGCTGGTTGAGTGGATCCTAAGGAGAAATTAAAGCTCTCAGAGGGAGGAGGGGAGGAGAACAATGTGCTACTTTTTAATAATGGGATAAAAAGATGCTAATGAATTTTTGATTTTCAGGTAATGAAGGAAGTCCAGAGTGCACTGAACACAGCAGCTGCAGATGACAGTAAACTCGTTCTGTTCAGTGCAGTTGGTAGCATTTTCTGCTGTGGTCTTGATTTTATTTATTTTATACGACGTTTAACGGATGATAGAAAAAAGGAAAGCACTAAGATGGCAGAAGCCATTAGGTATGTAAGATTATCTTCAGTCGTCTGAGTGGGTATTCTTCATGTAATTGTCTTATCTTTATTTCAAAAGCCTCTAATTCAACAAGATCCCAGACACCCCCCTGTTATGTGCTATATTGTGCTGCGCTTCTCTATATTCCCTGTCCCTTCTTATTTGGGTTGCTATTTAATGCATTGCTATTTTTACTACTAAAATTTACCTATGAAAACTGTTAGTATGGTAATACTTCTCCAGTTGAAACCAATTTTAAAAGATTTAAACAGCTACAAGGCTTCAAGAAAACAAATTTAACACATGCAAATACAGGATATGCATTGACTGTGTAACTTGGTATAGTACATTCAGAGCAGTGGAATGGTGGATATTTCAGAGGAGTAGACTAAAACTGGTGACCCTCATCCCAACACTAGGTACCAAGCCCAATATTTAAAGAAAATTAACTCAACTGCTACAAACTAGAAGAATATGTATAGAAAAAAGCATGGATCTTAAGGACATGTTTAGATGGTACAAACAAGTAGTTTAGTTAATCATTTAAACACTGGCTTTGAGGGCCTGGGCTCTTGAATTAGCTCTGTTATGTTTCCAGAGCATCTATATTCCTTCAGAGACCAATATTCTGTTGTCATTATCAATACTCATGTCCCTAAAAAAGGCCTTCTGACATGTAAAGCCTGTTTCATTGGAGGCACATTTGGCTCAGAGAGATGATAATAGGTGGGGTTTGTTGTTTCTGGTTGGTTGGGTTGGGTTTTGGGGGGTTTTCTTGTTGCCTTTCTTTTTTTCTCCCCCGAAGGGAATATTTCAGTCATTCCAAATAAAAGTTGCTCATGCAGTGACTTCAGATGCAGCCAGAGGACAGAGGCTCTTAACACTGAGCTTCTGTCACTAGTTCTAATTCAGTTCCATCCAGAATCCTGATTTGTCACCTATTACTCGTTGTTAAGAAAATGGCTAAATGGAACTTAAAACCCCCCTTCAAGTACAGGAATGGTATTTTTCATATATATGCTAAGATGGTAATCTCTGGAATATTCTAAATGTGATTAAAATTATCTTGAATCTCTGAATTGGGAGTGTTTGTGTGATGGATTGCATAAGATTGTTCCAGCAGTTTTTCAGCATTCTTCAGCTCGCTAGGGTGAGTTGGGCATGATAACCTGTAGTGATGAATGCAATATAGTAGAAGTGTTCTGTTTCACTGAAATGCAAAAACAGCCATTGCGACACTAATTACTGGCCTCCAACTAGCCTTGGTGCTGCTGGTCACCACCCTCTGGGCCAGCCATTCAGACATTTTCAGTCCTCCTCACTGTCTGCTCATCCAGCTCATACATCAACAGCTTGGCTGGGAGAGTCTTGTGGGAGAGAGTGCTGACTGCCTCACTCTGAAACCTATGTAGACAATACCCACTGCACTCTCCTCATCCAAGCTAACCACCTCATCATGGAAAGTTATCAGGTTGGTTTTGAAAGTAATGTTACTGTGGAGATGAATTCTTACTAAGTTTTCAAGGGCTGCTATATTTTACTCTCTATAAATGCATAGTGAGTACATGTTTCTGTTTCTCTTCAGGAATTTTGTGAATACTTTTATTCAGTTTAAGAAGCCTATCATTGTAGCAGTAAATGGCCCAGCCATTGGACTTGGAGCATCTATATTGCCTCTGTGTGACGTGGTTTGGGCTAACGAGAAGGCTTGGTTTCAGACACCATACACTACTTTTGGACAAGGTCCGGATGGATGTTCATCCCTTACATTCCCTCGGATAATGGGCCTGGCTTCTGTAAGTAGCTTGCAGAGTAGGGGCAATGCAGTTATGATGACTTATCCAGAGTGATTTCAAGACTTTTTACCTTTGCTGAGTTGCCTTTTTTTTCTCTCGTGAAAACCTTTCATGAGAATCCAGTACTTACAGCTTCTCTGCTCCATGCTGTTGCAACCTAGTCTTCACCTGCATGCACAGAACCAAAAGCAGGGACCTAATCCTTAACCGTGACAGTGGCAGAAGGGTTATATCCTGCATGCCAGGACACACCTTCCTTGCTGTTGCCTTGTAAGGACCAGCCACCAATATCTTGCATTCAGCACAGCATCCAAGCGTAGCAGAGAATGGGCTGCTCTGCACTCAGTGTCATTACACAGCAGAGCGCTGTGGCACCACCTCTCAGCAGTCTCCTGCTGATCTACAAAATAAGTAATTCTGCTTGTGCACTCGTTCTCAAGAACTCGTGTTGAACTTGCTCACTTTGTACATCTCTGCTAATGTTTCACACTAGTGCATTATGGAAGAAATACTCAGCCCAAATCACCTTTGTGGAGGGTTATTTACTGATTTACTTATTTTTTAGTCTTTGGACTCAATTTCCAGTATTGATGGATTGAAAAATGGAAAAGCTTTGCACTGCTGCTGAAAACATGAGCCACGTGTTTCTTAGTATCCCTTTTCTTGCTTTCTGACTGGATGTGAGAATCAAATTAACAAAAAACTATTTAAAAATCGCTTACCTACATTCTTTTCATGTTACTTACTATTTTTTATGCCGTGTTCTTTGAAAACTTTGACCTATGCCCCATTCCAGTTTGAAATTGCACAGTAACAGTATGAAACAAGAGCTTGTAGCTACACCTGGTTTTCCGAAATCACTGTCTGTTATAAAAGCAAATTTTTCTTTGTAGGTATTTACTGATTTAAAATACAGATGTTGATACATTAAAAGCATCAGGTTCTAGTGCACTTGATCTAATGACTAACTAACTGTATGATGTCTGGATTAAGTTATTAGAAGAGAAAAGGTAACTGAAATAGATTAACAGTTATAAGAGTAGCTTTAATATCTTAGCAAGTTTCAAACAACTGATTGTTCCTTTCCCTTTTTATTTGGCCATCCATCCATTCATCCATCCATTCCATCCATCCCCGTCCTTTAGAGACTTGTGGTTGTAGCTTTTTGTTTCTTTAGAAGACGTACAAATAACACAAGCTCTTCCCTAGTATACGCTTTCATGTGTATTTGTGAATGCTCTCATTATTAAATACAAAGATTTAAACTGAAAGTTTCCAGTGGCAACAATTCCGTAGTTAGTGTGGAAGGGGACAGGGGTGAATGTCCACTGTTGTAGTATACTCAGCTCTCTGCAGGGTCAGTTGTGGCTGGTGAGCAGCTCTGTTGTGGAGGGGTTTTTCCACAGAACATGTTCAACAGAGGTTGTTATTACGGGATATCTGAAGTCCAGACCTTAGGATTCAAAACTGATGCTGTATTGAGAATACCAAGGATTTTAGAAGGATTCTTAAACTTAGCTTTTGAAAATAATCTATCACAGAGATGAAAGTGGTGCCTGTTTATGGAGATCTGTTATTGTGCCACTGCTGTGGAGTTCTTGCTCTGGTTTTCTGGTCCTGGATCTAAAGCACAGGAGCCACGTGCTCAAGCTTCCCACACTGGGTTTCCCTGCCAGTCTCCAGCTCACTTGGCAGTGTTTCTCATGCTCTTCTGTCAGTCAGTCAGGATATGCATTTCTACAGTGCCTGCAGTCCACATCACAGACAGGGACTCAGGTGGTACAGAGCCTCCTGATCATAGTGCAAGAGAGTCATGCTCCTCAGCAGCTAGTGCCTGTGGGCTTGCACAGAAGTTCTATGAGCCTCAAAACACGTGCTGTAAAAGAGGGATCAGAGGATGTCCCTATGAAGTTCCTCTGTGGAAGGGGAAGACCAAGTAGAAAATTAAGGTTGTTAATGAGAATCTTATATTTATGAAATATTTTTATCACCGTCATTTCTATTGCTGTATCATGTGTCTTGCAAAGTAACCACCAAGCATATTATTTTTCACAGCAGACACAAGGTGTGTTTATTGGATTAAAACTTGTTTAGCAGTGGGTTTCCAGCACATGTTGTACATAGATCAAAAGCAGGGATGCCAGAGCAAAACATGTCCCTTCAAAGCCTGTCAACTGCGAAAACCCATAGGATCACTCATTTCGTGTGAGGTTAACTGCTACTGCTGTGTTACAGCTGGCAGAAGACAGGCACCTGCCCCACTATCACTTGTGGGGCTTCATGTTGCTACTGAGTTCTAGAAAACACATTAAGGTTTTCTAGCATTTGTTTTTATCCTGGTTACCAAAAATACATGTGAATAATGTGCAAACCTAACCAGCTGATGTAGATTTCTGACTTTCCTTATTCCAGTTGGACTGATTTCACCTTTGGATCTTTGATATAAATGTGCAGTAGCTTTTGAAATTATTTTGGAATAACTTTTTTATCCCCATAGGAAAATAATTAATTCCTGGTTTTAGACAAACGTGTGTAGCACAGATGGTTTTTTAGCTAGTGATTCAGGTTATTCACATGCTATGTAGGAACTTAGAAGGAAAGTCATGATAGTTAATAAACCTTGTATATTTGATTTTGCTTTCAGAGAAGGTAGAACTATACATGCATGTACTCTGTATCCTTAGATTGAGACTTGTTTTTTTTTAATGGATATATGTGAACCCTAACTTCCCATATTAACTTCTGAGAAATGTGCTGCTGGTAAATTCTATGGACTGGGAGTCAGCAACCCAACTGCCTGTAGAACCCAATCTTTGTATTTTGTTACAAAGGGGCAAGTAATAGACCTCGGAGTTTCCAGCTTGCTTCATGTATTAAATGGCAAAACTGGGAACAGTTCCTGCAGCAATTAGATCATTTGAGACCCTTAACTGAAAGTTTCTGTAATAATTGCCAGAATTTCCAGTATTAGAAAACATTAAAAACCTCCAAATTTTGCAAAACATGCAAATGCTGCACTTGTCAGGTTTAGATTTCATTTCCCAGATTTCAAGAGTCCAGTGATGATTTTGGCATATTTTCAATATAAATTAGTCATAAAGAAACAGTCACACTCATCTTTATTTGGGGTTTTTGAGGTTGGCAGTTACTCTGCCTTTATCTTCACTGGCTGTTTCCATGCAGATGTCACGGCAAACAAAATGTTTAACTATGTAAGAAACTTCATTAAAGGTAGAATTAAAGTGTAAGTGTAAATGGTTGTAGGACAGAGCTTTAATGGAGAAGCTGGTAAATAGTCAAGTGTATTATAATTACATATAAAAAAAATCTAGAGAACTGGAGATCACCTTGTTGGACAGAATGTAGTACTCAATTCTGTACCTTTCAACTATGGTCAGAGCTTTTAAATACTGGTTTGGTTAATTAGACTGACAAGTCAGCTTTTGAAAGGATTTATCAGTTCCATATTGAGCTCCTGACTAAAATGGGAATGCTTATTTTCCATATATTTGATCAGAAATTGGACTATATCCTGCCCAGTGCAGTGGGGTTTGGAGGTCAAATTCTAAGATGATCCAGGTATTTTAAATGTTACATTATAAATGAAATCCTGATGCAGACTTTGGAGCAGTGCTGAAAATAAACCACATTGAGTATTCAATACTAAAAAAAAAAATTAGTTGCAAAAATAACCTGTTCTTGTCTACCAATACTAGCAGTTCCCAGGAGGTCTGCTACCAAAACTGGGTCATCTTTATCATTTATGGATAGATCTTAGCACAGATTTCATTGATGCAACTAACACTATTGCAGAGGGCAAGCCAATGTCTTCGTTATTGCTTTACAGATCTGCCAGGCATTGTAACCTATTACCACATAGTTAATCAAGTGAGCAATGCAGCAAGATAGCTAGAGCTAATGAATGCTCAGTAATGGGAAACAAGCAAAGCCAGTTTCACATTTAACCCTTAATCACAGACCTCTGCTTCTTTTGTAACTCCTGCCATAGTATAGCGAACACCATCAGCTGCCTATCTATAGACAAGTCTTTTTCTTTATTCATTAGAAGTTGGAAGAGCTATAATAAAACTGTTTCAAATAGTGTAGGCATTTTCCTTATTTGTTTTGAACATTTTTCCTTTAATGAGTTTTGTCTCATTACATTTCATACCAGAAGTAACTTTCTATCCCTTCAGGCCAATGAAATGTTGTTCAGTGGAAGGAAGTTGACTGCACAGGAAGCTTGTGCCAAAGGACTCGTCTCTCAAGTGTTTTGGCCAGGAACATTCACACAAGAAGTAATGGTTCGAATCAAGGAACTGGTCACATGTAACTCAGTTGTAAGTTTCCTTTATTTTCTTGCAATACATGCTTATGGTTAGATTAATAAGTATTAATCTAAGTATTACTAGGCTACATCATTACATCCTTCTGAAAAAAAACCATTTTCATGAAGTAAGTACAGCATTTTATTATAGCACCGTCTTTTTATTTCCTGGGTTTTGAGGACTGCTTTTTAAGTTTATACCCAACTCTTATCATATGCCATAGTACACGTTGGTTATGAAATTGAAAACAGCATTGGACTCTTTATAATATACTTGTGTTTAACATAGTTGCCTAACTTATTCTAATCAACAGTGTAAACAGTTGCCCTAAGTACTGCACAGAAGTCTTTGAGTTGTAATATAATGTCTTGAGTTATAATAATATAGATTACTAGGGAAGTAAATGCAGTCTTTGACATTATGTTGAATTTAATTTTACTACAAAGCGCCTAGAATAATGTGGATTGGAAGGGACCTTCAAAGGTCATCTAGTCCAACCCCCATGTTTGGTTGCACTACTGGCTGTTGCACAATAGCCAAAACTACCCATATTTAATCTTATGAGAAGAGATGAAGTACAAATTAACTGTCCTGTGCATTGGAAATTTTGGATTTTGAAATGGATCAATAGCTTTCTAAATGGAAAAGCAAGTGAGATTCTTCAGCCTCCTTTGAATGCCCAAGATTGTCAAGGTCTGTCTGGTTATTGGAGCAGCTCTGGATAACAGTATTATGATTAGACGTCACCAAAATGAAGTTGGAGTTTTCTCTAGTTATCAGTATAAAACCATATATATGTATGTTCATGGTTACAATTTTACTATTTTCATCATTTCCACATTTTTGTGTACTTGTTAACTGCGAAGTGTTTCTTAGGCTTGTAGGCTGGTAAGCTATGTATGATGAGCTTAGGTTCATAATCAACTCCAGGATCCATCCACACGACCTGTAAGTACACATGTAAACACTAACACAACACCCCTTTTTTTTGTTTGTTTGTTTGGCCCAGGTGCTTGAAGAATCCAAAGCTTTAGTACGGAACATCATGAAGGTGGACTTGGAACAAGCAAACGAAAAGGAATGTGAAGTTTTGAAGAAAATCTGGGGCTCAGCACAAGGAATGGACTCAATGTTAAAATATCTGCAGAAGAAAATTGATGAGTTCTGATGAGATGCCCATTGACACTGGAATTGTATTTCTGGGACATCAGGGCAAACATAAAGTGCCCAGTTAAAAAAACCTATATAAACTAACCCCTTGCTCAGCTTGGGAACAGGAGTGGACACCCTCCCCTTTTATTGTCAAGGGGTTTAAAAGTACTGTATCACTTAAATCTGAACAAAACTCCTTTCTCCCTGATTGTTACATATAGATATACACACACACACAAGTGTATGTGTGTGCATATATGTCTTTTATATATATATATATATATAAAATGTAATATGTGTGTGACAGTGTGTATGTAGACACACGCACACAAGCTAAAAAAAAAAAAAGATAGAGTGCACTACCAAACATCTCTTTAAAGGCTCTAGTTTTTGTTATCTTTGGCTAGTACTGTATCAAATAGAGAATGGATTAAAAAGTGAATGGTGTTGCATTATTTTCTGTGTGGCAGGGAAGTCTGGAATAATGCTTTTCTTGTTCATTAGATTACAGCATTGAAACGGGTATTAGCCAGCCCTTACTTTCACTGCCCAAGGAGTCAGCGAAGATAGAAGGCCTTGCCTCAGAAGAAGGTTGAAATACCTCAAGCAATGGAACATTGTAAAATGTGGGGTAATTAAACCCTGTTAAGCTTACATCACCATATATCCCCAAAAAGAGAGTGTGCTCAGGATTATTGCTAAGAAAACACTCTGTCCTTTTATGGGGGAGGTATAGAGGGGTGGGAGGAAGAGGGCAGGAATACGTTTAATTCTTACCCAGATAACATGAAGAAACCACTGTCTCTTAGGGAAGGGGAATGCGGGGAAGTGGGAGGGAAATGGAAGGGGAAGGAAAGAAAGAAAGAAAGAAAAAACTTAAAAAGAGCTTGTTTTGCAGTATTAGTGAATCACTGAATATCTTCTGTATGACTATCCTAAGTTATAAGTTAGTTTTAGTGGGGGTTTTAAAAATCTCTGGATTTGGGATTTCTTTTTTTGTTTTCTTGCTTTGGGGGTTTGGTTTTTTGTTGTTTTGTTTGGTTGTTGGGTTTCTTTTTTAATAACTACATAAGTGCTTCTGTTGCTGGGTGAGAATACTACTTTATATGCAGTTTGGGTTTTGTTTTCGGTTCTTGTTTCCTATTTGCTGGTTTAATTGATGTATTACACCAAAAAATGCATTTTATGTTCATAAATTTTAGGTTCACTTAGAATATATTATTTAATAAGTTAAAATTCTTTTGGCACACTATTACATAAAAAACAAAAAACTCCTTTTAAAAAAAAAACAACTACCTTATATTAGATGTTTAATGTTCTTTGTCTATGCTTTTTTATTATTTTAAATATACACTATATACAGTATGGTGTAAAAGAGTGCCCTGTGTAAATAGACCTATTTTGCATTCCTTTCAGGAGTGGTTATTGATTCCTGACTGCAGATACCTATTATTACTTGGGTATCTGTGCTTGCAATCTTATTGAATGTACTATGAAGAATGAAAAAGAAATCAAACCTTATTTTTGTACAGTTTTGAAGTTTTTACTTGGAACTGACCCACCTCCCCTTCCCAGTGGAGAGCTGTACAGTGTGTAAATCTGCCTTTACCTTGGATTGGTACAGTATTTTTGCATCTGTGGGACCTACTTCTTTGTTCTTAGTAGTTTGAACTATATATAACTGTACAATCTGTAAAGTTTTTATAGAATAAATATTCAGCTGTGAAAACTGGTTAAATAAAACTAATATTTCTTAACACATTTTAAATGTGGCTCAGTCCTAGAGTTGTCTTTTTCAAAGACATTTCAGTTCTGATTTCAAAGAAAGAGTTGCTGGAACAAATCTTGCAAATGACTTTGATATTTATGTTGTATTTTGTTAATCTTTTATCAGCTCTTAATTTCCATCAAATGAAAAGTTGAAAATTAATTTATTGGTGGTAACTATATAGACGTTTTCTGCTAGAGGCAGTAGAACGGGAAAGATGATATATAGGTAGTGATTCTGCTCTCAGTTTTTATGTTACACTTCTAAAATAACATTCAGAAAATGTTTCTTTGCAGTCTCCTAGAAATGGGTGAATTTCCCTACAATGCTGTGGTAAAGTGAGAACTCCTTAGTTAGATTTGGTTTTATTGAAAAGTAGAAGGAAAGATACCTTACCTACAGTTCTGTATAGTTAAACCACGTGGAGTTCAACTCTGTTTTATATAAAGATCTCTCCTCTGGCATCTCTAAGAAGCATTTGAGCATAGATTGCACCTGGTTTGGAGTCACAGCCTCCCAGCATCAGTGGTACTTCAAAAACGGCTTTTCTACCTTGGTTCTGGTACTGATGTGTGAGCAACTTGTACCTGCAGAATTTTGGAGTATCATGAATTATTGCACCTGGGTGCAATGCAAGAACATAGAAACAGTGTCTTTCTGAATTGTGCCCAAGAGAACTTCTGGATACTTTTGTAAACGAGGAAAATGCTTTCCCCAGTTTCTAACTCCTTCAGTTACGAAAGCAAACTAAAGCACCAGTTTGGGTGGCAGAAGTCTAGTCAGTGGATAGTAGATTTAGGAATTAGCAATATTTGAATATAAAATTTAGCTAGCTTTAGCCTTGCTTAGTCCTGATGCTCAGGTCTCTTATCAAGACTGTCTGCTATCTTGATTGCATGACTACTACCCAATCTGCATCATTCCTTACAGAGTGTATAAACACATTGTAAGGTGTCAGTGTTGGTGCCGAAACTTGAAAGTACCAGAGGAGCCTTGATAATGCAGTGTAGGAATATATGACATTCTAGTTCTCTTCCCGAAATAGGTAATGGCTCACCTATTACTAGCAAACAGCAAATTGACAAGCATTGACAATTGGACAGCTTTGAGGCCATACATTATGCTTTCCCCACAGAAGTTCCAGCACATTCAAGCTTATGTTTGGAAGTAAAAAGGGTCAGGAAACCAGAGAGCCATGGGTTGAATGTACTTGGAACTGTTTGAAAGCCATTTGTGTACACTTAACCACAGCTTCTGCTGATATTGTAGCTTGAGTGAGCAAAAATAGAAAGCAGAGCAGGGTTTTACCGCTGGGTAAGCTAAGCCACAAGAGATATTTTGGAGTAATCTGAAGATTGTCAGATCAGTCAAGCCAGCATTATACTGTGTCTAGGAATAACTGAAGTCACTAAGTCACACTTTCATTTCTTAATGTTTCTGAAGGAATTACATGTTCATTCATACTAACAGAAAATTGTTTTCTGAAGAGAAATGAAACAAGCCTGTGCATCCAAGGGAAAAGAAAGAAAAAAGACAGGTCTTGACACCAATTTTCTTGAAGCAAAATTAACCACACCAGCCAGTCTGATGAATGAACCAGGGGCAACATCTCCACAACCTTTTGGATATTTTGGACAGTCTAATTCAGCTCATGAGAATAGATATCGTTTTCCCCCAGAATCACAGTCATCTGAAGTTTACTGCTGTCAGACTGCAGGGCAGCAGAATTATCTGCAATTCCTTCAACAGAAGATCTTTGCAAATTGTTAGTCCTAATGATGTAAAGCAGGAAGGTTGGAGACCTTAGATAACCCAGCTCTGAAGTAGAATAAAATACTTAAAAAAACCATCCAGATAATCCCCAATGCTTTTGAAAGGTGCTGGCACAAGATGATAAGCTATTGTGCTTAATCCTTAAAAAGATGGAGGCCCAAGGTCTACAGTTCAGGTTCCCCTGCAGTGGATACCCCAAGCAACACTACCACCCATGATGTAGGGGAAAGCATCACTGCCCATGGCAGGGGTTTTGGAACTAGATGATCTTAAGGTCCTTTTCAAACCAAACCATTCTATAACAGGAGTTGTTCACACTTACTCCTTTTGATACTCTTACAGGTTTAGCCACTGTGGCTCAGCAAATAGATTTTTCACAGACATTAACCTGTTTAAACATAATTGGTCGAAAAACAATTTTTAATGATAAAAAGGATAGAAGAATGCTATGAATGAGGTCCCTCCAAACCTGAAAGTATGCAAGTTTCTGGAAATCTCTGGTTAGTCTGTATTAAAATGCCATTCAGCTCCCTCACTACACTTCCTAACAGCAGAATAGGTCTACCCAACATTCGCGTGGTAAGATAATGCATTGGAAACAAAACTTGCTGAACAAGAGACGTGGCAAATCTGCCTCTAGACAGTTCCTGACACAGAGGTATTAAAACTGCAGTTTTGCCACTGAACCAGTTATCACTGATTCTCACCATGTCCCTTCCCATCTCTCTTTCAATTCCCCTCTGGTAAATTGGTTTTGATTACTGAACTTTCAAAACCAAATAACCAACTAAGACAGCAGTCTAAAGGTAATATGTATAAAATAAACAAGCCATATAAAAATTGTCCAGAAGTTTCTGAGAGAGGCCGGTTGGCTGAAAATAAATGTAATTTTGCCAGTGTCTAGAAAGAGACATGCACAGAGACATCTTTGACTTCACATTCAGGCACTTCAGAAAACCCAGAGTTCCGTACCCCAAGAAGTTGGTTTGAACCCAGGAAATTTCCTGATAGAAGATTCCTGGCCAGCAATCCACAAGAACCTGACACGCTATCATTATTTCCTTGTCTCTGACATTCCCAGTGCTTCTCCAAGTCCTACTGACGAAGAGGAACTGTAACCTGAGAAGAGCTACAGTACTAACAACAGGGAGTCATGGCACGTTCCACAGAAACGTGTTATCACTGAAGACACAGCAGTGCAAGGCGCAAGCAAGATAAGCTCTGGATTTTCTCTCCTCTCAGACCACTGCCTCATCACAAACTGAAAGCACTTGCACAGAGAAAGGAGAATCAGAGCACCCCACCCAGAATCTACACGAAAAGCAGTAAAGACGAACAGCTCCTCTGCAAGGACAGTGGCTGAAATAAAGAATCTTTTGCATCTGTTTTTCCTACCACGCACAACAGGAACCCCGTTCGAAGAGCTGCGCACAGGCATGCAGGCACTGTGCTTGGACAGCTGCCATGCTTGACCTGGCAAATCACTGATGATAAAACAGCAGAGTACATTACGAAGTTTACAGACTTGCCCAGTTTCCCCTCTATATCAACATACTATCACCACCTCGCAGGCTTTCTCGTGAAGCAAGCTGTGATCCCAGCTCACACCAGCAACTTGAAACTGCACCATCCAGCATGCTCTCCCTGATAACTCAAACCATCCACATCTACAGCCAGCCAGCGCAGCAGACTGAAAAGAGCTGGGGAAGAGCCGGACAGAAGCAGTGGCTTGTTCCTCTTGGAGACTGCAAGGCCAGAGGCAACAGTGCAGTAAAAACTGCCTCACCAGAAGGCCTTCAAACCATAGGTACCTCAAAGTACTTGCAGTCCAAAAGCTGCTGGGTGGTCAGCACCTGGTGCCAGTTCTTTCTTTTTGATTTGTGTTCTTTGGAGGGGCATCAAAATACCACAGAAGGGTTCCTTGACAAACCGCTGCCAACTGCCACAGAAATGGTGTGGCCATAAACGAGGAATGGTACAAATACCAAAGCCTCTCAGCCTTCAAATTAGACGTATATTTAGAAATCCTGTGTCAAACCATGAAATTAAAAAACCCCAAACACTGGGTCTCCTAGCAGCAGGAGCTGCTTTGTTGGTTGGGGCCAGCAGGGATTTGATCCCAAGAAGCAACAGTCCTGCCTGCTGCTGCCTCTGGAAAGATTACATTTGTCAGAGAGCGGGAGAGCTTCTGCGACACTGTGTCTCTGTTGGAACCCCTAAGGGGAAAATAGGGTCTCCTCAGAACTGACAGGAAAATTTAAGACTTCCTCAAAGAAGAAAAGAAGCAAAGCAGCAGAAATCCAAG